GATCCAATATATAAACGTACAGACACACACAACCTGGGTTTTATAATAAGTATGATGATCTAAGAAATGATATAACAAATCTTATTCATTGAATAGACTTTTTTGTAATCGTTTACAATGTTCTTACATACTTTATGAGGCAAAAAAAAAAATATAGACGCACTCATAGAAAGTCGATTTTTGTATCATTAGCAAGACAAGTGAGTAATACGATTCGTTTATTAATACAGGGTATTGATACAGGTGTATATATGTACATTATACAAGTCCAAAAAATGATTAAGTATTTTGTTGGGTAAGCTTTTGTTTTAAGAACGGCCTTAATTCTTCGTGGCAGGCTATAGTCTAAATTCTTTAGTAAGTTTGTAAAATCTGACGAAGGACGTTCTTCGCCAGATTTTTCCAGTTTATCTTTAATTCACGAAAAAGCTCATTTTCTGTGTTAGCTTTCCTATTACGAGCACACTATCGCCCAAGGTTTTTCAATCGGGTTATGGTCAGGACTTTTTCGCGAATTAAAGGACTGGTGGGAAAATCTGTCTAAGAAAGTTGACTTACTAAAGAATTTATCCTATAGCATGCCATCAAGAATTAAGGCCGTAATTAAAGCAATAGTTTACCCAACAAAATACTAAATCATTTTTTGACCTGTATAATTGATAATAATGATCCCCAGATGAGGTTATGTCGAAGGGCAGAGTCTCGTCTCAGGAAACAGCTGCCCGAGCCCTTTATATACGGGGAAATTTTGGCCGTGCCTATGGGCTCGAATTACCCGACATTAAACTTGGCCTTGGGCCACATCCTACTTCGTGGGTAGGCTGGTAAATATTGTCTAGCTGGGATCTGTTGAGTACGACTCAGAGTTACGTGAGAACTATCAACCTTCCAATAGTAGCCCTCACTACTGGATTGACTTGCGACGACCTTGTGTATACCTGTTACCTTTATTCTTATTGTATTGGTTTTTTACAATAAACCTTTACTTATTTTATTCACCTTTTTTTTTCAAGTATATATTCCTATTAGCACGGAATATATACTTGAAAAACAAGGATAATAAAATAAGTAAAGGTTTATTGTAAAACAAAAACAAAAACAGTGCACACGAACTTTATGGGCACCTTGTATATACGTTTCCGCTATGGTCACGTGCTCTACTTAAACCCTCTATGAGATCGCCTGCGTTTGCTCACTGGCAGTCTATGTTCAAACACAAATGACACTTTATTCCTATATAAAATTAGCTTTGGTAATGGTTTCTAATCCTGTCGTCTTAGTCCAATTCTGTTTGTTTGTTTTATTTAACGGCATTCCAACCTTAGTGATCATTTTATGCCGAAAATGATTTTGGTATCGCTGGCAACATTATTTTTTTCCAAAAAGGTACAGCTGGCAACATTATTTTTCCAAAAACGTATAACTTGCAACATTATTGTTTTTTTTAAGCATCATCCTTTAACAGTGTTTTGACCCCAGTTACAATTCCATTGAATAAGATTTTGTTAAAAGACATAGCTGGTAATATTTTTCTTTTTTATTAAACGTATAGTTGGGAATATTATTTTTCCAACAAGTAGAGCTGGGAATATTATTTTTCCAAAAACGTACAGCTGGGAATATTATTTTTCCAAAAACGCATAGCTGGTAATATCATTTTTCAAAAACACACTGCTGGCAATATTATACCTTGAAAAATGTATAGCTGGTAATACTACTTTTCCAAAACCGTATGGCCGACAACCTTAATTTTTCAAAAACAGCCTTTCTGTTGGACGTAGTTTATCGTCATACCTAATATGTGGATGTAGTTTATCGCCATACCCAGTTTACTGTCATGCCCAGGACAAAGTCCAATTCAGACCAGTTCGTATTAACATCGACGCCAGATAGATTATTTGGGCCTTGTTTTCTTTTTTCTTTTCTTTTTTTTCTTTTCTTTTCTTTTTTTCTCCTCGAAACAAAATCTCCCTGTGAGATATACAATGAAAAGAAATATTATAAAACCATTAAACAAAATAATCACCTAGCATCACCAACCTTCCTTTTGCCAATATTCATGGCATCTCTCCACACTCGACATTTACTGCAGTGTAGAATATATATATATATATATATATATATATATATATATATATATATATAATAAAAAGGCTTAAACACTAATATTTCATGGTCATAATTTATTCCATTGGAATCGTAAATACGATCCAATTCATCAGACCTACAAATTCAAAAAGAAAACAGAAAAAACAACTCCGGAAATAAAAACAGAAAATATATATATATATATATATATATATATATATTCTTCTTCTTCTTTCGACTTCTTTTATCTTCTGTCTTCTTAATTCTTGTTCTTTTATTGTCCTCTCTCCTTAATAGCAGTTTTTCTCATATTCTCTAACACTCAGTAACCCCTTGCATCTTAGTGGCTTTATTGTCTTTGATCTTCAAAAATTTAAATGCAATATCAATCGTTATCTTATGTCTTCTTAATTCTTGTTCTTTTATTGTCCTCTCTCCTTAATAGTGTATTTTTCTCATATTCTCTAACACTCAGTAACCCCCTTGCGTCTTAGTGGCTTTATTGCCTTTGATCTTCAAAAATGTAAATGCAATGTCATCCGTTATCTTCTGTCTTCTTAATTCTTGTTCTTTTTCTTGTCCTCTTTTCTTAATAGAATATTTTCCCATATTCTCTAACAGTCAGTAACCCATTGCATGCTAGTGGCTTTATCGCCTTTAATCTTCAAAAACGTAAATGCAATGTTAATTGTTATCTTCTGTCTTCTTAATTCTTGTTCTTTTATTGTCCTCTCCCCTTGATAGCAGTTCTTCTCATATTCTCTTACACTCAGTAACCTCTTGCGTCTTAGTGGCTTTATTGCTTTACTTAGGGGTGAAATGATTATAAAAAAAATCTTACTGATCGTATAACGAAGACGCAGACTATAAACTTATGATTTTGTCTAACGCAGAAATCGATCCTAAACACAGGACAGTACGTGTGCGAAAATAACTTTTGCTTTCAAAACATAATTTCAGAAACTGTCACAAATTGGCGCCAGGCGTCAATCTGTTGATTGCGGTTGTGTGTGTGTTTTTTTGTTATTATTATTATTATTATTATTATTATTATTATTATTATACGTTAAGCTTTTTTTAAAGTTATTTTTAGTATTCAGATATATCTTACTTATTATAAAACGCAGATTGTGTGTGTGTGTGTGTGTGTGTGTGTGTGTGTGTGTGTGTGTGTGTGTGTGTGTGTGTGTCTGTACGTTTATATATTGGATCGGATTTCCTACATTTTTCAACCGATTTCAACAAAACTTCACAGGACTACATAAAATTACCTTGCGGTGGTTCTGACAGCGCCAAAAATTGGAAAAACACAATTGTTTTTGCACGAAATCAATTTGAAAACACGATTGAGAGGCATTAATGAAAGGGGGACAACTCATATCGAGTTAGACTTATTATAAAACCCAGGTTGTGTGTGTGTACGTTTATATATGGGATCGGATTTCCTACATTTTTCAACCGGTTTCAACAAAACTTCACAGGACTACGTAAAATTACTTTGCGGTGGTTCTGACAGTGCCAAAATTTGGAAAAACACAATTGTTTTTGCACGAAATCAATTTGAAAAGACGATTAAGAGGCATTAATGAAAGGGGGACAACTCACATCGAGTTATACTTATTATAAAACCCAGGTTGGTTGCTTTGTGTGTGTGTGTTCGTTTATATATGGGATCGGATTTCCTACATTTTTCAAACCGATTTCAACAAAACTTCACTTTTTTTTTTTTGGTAGTGTTTCTTATTGTCTTGCACACTTTTTTCTTTATTTTTACATTCAGAATGCTTTAAAAATTCCATTTACAAGACAATTGTTTATAATAAAATTCTATTCAATCGGTAGACTCATAACGATTGAAAACAATGTTTTGTTTGAGTTTGGGTTTGACCAATTCATAAAAAACAAAAAAAAAAAAAATAAAACTAATTATGACATGCGTGTCCGTCAACCTTAAACAATAATCTTTGTCAATTTTATTTTTCAGTCTTTATGATGGTCGATACTTGATCTATCTCTTACTGTTACATTCCCGGGCAACACCGGGCTCTACTGCTAGTGAATAATAATTGCATTATATCTGTAAAATACACTATGGTGCTGTCATCCCACTCTTTCACACACTTTCTCAAGGGGTCAATATACATATATACATTTATGTTTGCGTGTCAACGCGTGAGCTTTTTTAAATAGAAGTAGACAGATTCGTCTATCGTTCGGTTCGCACTCCTCTCCGGTCTTTTGAACGGAAGTAGAAGTATATACTCCGACGAGCTATTTTTGCTAGTTCCCAAACTGCATGAATTTAAAACGTGCCACTAAGTCGTCATCTCAGTCCCACCCTTTCACTGTCGAAACGGTTCAAATGTAGTCGTCTCTTCTACTCCAATAGCTTCATGTCTCGCACTTCCCGTCTGAGGAACTCCCTTCCTCTTACTTGCTTCCCTGATAAGCTATAATCTCCAACTATTCAAATGCAATGTCAGTCGACGTCTCCAGATGTCTTGATTTAATTCCCGCGTCCTTCTCTTCATCCTTTCCTCTATCACGCCTCTTGCTCCCAATCTCTGTCACCCCTTGCGTGTTAGTGGCACTCCCGCCCTGCCTGGGGTGAAAAGCTTTAAAAAATATATCTCTCGTTTCCTGTTTAGGATTGGGTTTCCGGTTCCTTCTAAGATCTACTTCCGCTCTAACGTCTCCGCCTGAACTCTCGAAATTTTAAAAAATAATAATTATTTTTTCCCTCTTTCAATAAGAGTGGGAAAGTTCGCCTATCGCTCGGTTCAAACTCCTCCCATAGTTTTTTGAACAGGGGTAGCGGTATATCCTTTGTTTCCTGTTTAGGACTGTGTTTCCGGCTAAACTGAAAAATGTTATTCACTAATTCAATCTTGACCTCTTCAAGTCTAATTCTAACGGCTATATCACGTTGAGGCAACGGTTCTCGTACAATTAGCGGAGTTAAGCAACGTAGAGCCTGATTAGTACCTAGATGGGTGACCTCTTGTAAATACCAGGTGCTGTAAGTTTCGATGTGCGGGTGGTGTAATGGATAGACGGCTCTCTCTCGTTTTTATAGTAAATACCGTCTAGCTGGGATCTTTACCAGCTGTGCTGGTCGAGCTCCCTGCTTTCGGGCAGAGAGAAACACGGACGAAGCTATGCCGAAGGACAGAGTCTCGTTCGGGGAGGTAGATAAACCCGATCCCGTTCATACGGGGTCTACGTGGATTTTATAGCCGACCATAAGGGCTCGGGAACCCCACATTAAATTCGGCCTTCTGCCACATGTGAATGCGTGGGGCAGCTACTAAATAGCGTCGAGCTGGGATCCTTCCCAGCTGCGCTAGTCGAACTCTCTGCGTTCGGGCAGAGAGGAACCCGGACAAGGCTATGCCGAAGGGCAGAGTCTTGTTCAAGGAGGCAGACCGACCCGATCCCGTTTATGCGGGGTCTACAGGGATTTTTTGGCCGAGCCTACGGGCTCAGCAACCCCACTTTAAATTCGGCCTTGTGCCACATGTGATTGCGTGGGGCAGCTACTAAATAGCGTCGAGCTGGGATCCTTCCCAGCAGCGCTAGTCGAACTCTCTGCGTTCGGGCAGAGAGGAACCCGGACAAGGCTATGCCGAAGGGCAGAGTCTTGTCCGGGGAGGTAGACCGACCCGACCCCGTTTATGCACGGTCTACGGGGATTTTTTGGCCGAGCCTACGGGCTCGGAAACCCCCACATTAAATTCGGCCTTGTGTCATATGTGACTGCTTGGGACAGTTGGTAGATACCGTCTAGCTGGTAGCATTTCCAGCTGTGCTGATCAAACTCTTTGCCTCCGGACAGAGAGGATCCACAGACGAGGTTATGTCGAAGGGCAGAGTCTAGTCTCCGGAAACAGCTACCCAACCCCGTTTTATACGGGTTCTACTGGAAAATTTTGTCTGAGCCTACGGGCTCAGTTACCCCACATTAAATTCGGCCCTGTGCCACATCTGACCGCGTGTGGCGGTTAGTAAATATACAAGCTGGAATCTGTTCCAGCTGTGCTGGTCAAACTCTTCGGACAGAGAGGATCCCCAGACGAGGTTATGTCGAAGGGCAGAGTCTCGTCTCAGGAAACAGCTGCCCGAGCCCTTTTTATACGGGGAATTTTTGGCCCACCCTACGGGCTCGAATTACCCGACATTAAACTTGGCCTTGTGCCACATACTAGTTCGGGGTAGACTGGTAAATATTGTCTAGCTGGGATCTGTTGAGTATGACTCGGACTTACGCGAGAACTACCGACCTTCAAATAGTAGCACTCACTACTGGATTGACTTGCGACGACCTTGTGCATAACTGTTATCTTTATTCTTATTGTATTGGTTTTTAAAATAAACCTGTACTTATTTTATCCACCTTGTTTTTCAAGTATATATTCCTATTAGCACGGAATATAACAATTATACAAGTCAAAAGATAATTTAGTATTTTGTTGGGTAACCTTTTACTTTAATTACGACCTTAATTCTTGTTGGCATACTATAGGATAAATTCTTTAGTAAGTCAACGTTCTTAGACAGATTTTCCCACCAGTCCTTTAATTCGCGAAAAAGTCCTGACCATAACCCGATTGAAAAACGTTGGGCGATAGTGTGCCCGTAATAGGAAAGCTAACACAGAAAATGAGCTTTTTCGTGAATTAAAGAAATGCTGGAAAACTCTGGCGAAGAACGTCCTTCAACAGATTTTACAAACTTACTAAAGAATTTAGTCTATAGCCTGTCACGAAGAATTAAGGCCTTTATTAAAACAAAAGCTTACCCAACAAAATACTAAATCATTTTTTTTTTTACATGTACATATATACACCTGTATTAATACCCTGTATTAATAAACGAATTGTATTACTCACTTGCTTTACAAAAATCGACTTTCTATGAAGGCATCTATTTTTTTTTTTTTTTTGCCTCATACAGTAAGAACATTCTAAACGATTACAAAAGAAAAGGTTACTCAATAAATAAGATTTGTTACATCATTTCTTAGATCGTAATTAATAAAAACAAAGAAAAAAATAGCTAACAGTTCATACAGGGGGTCCATAAAGTTCATAAATTTATAGCTTTATTTGTATAAAAGTTTTAAATTTAAGTTTCTTTTCATAAAAAAATGGTTTCGAGGTATCAGACAGAGATCGTGTTTTTTGCCAAAAATACAATTTCCACTGGAAAAATACACCATCTACAAAAATATCTGTCGCTGAGTAATTCCTGTTTCTCTGTTTATTCATAGGTCCGTTGATGAAGGACACAGGCGTGTCCGAAAATTCCGAACATAAAACCTTTCTTTCCGTGCTTCGTTTCTGTCATATGGTTATTAATTAATATTTCATAAATGTTTATCGTACTGATTATATAGGTACCCTTTCGTTTGTTCTTTGTTTTATTAACTAGCCTATCTATTTTTTCATATATATATATATATATATATATTTAACGACGTCGGAATTACGAGACTTTTTGTCTCTTATCGACCTACATACGTAGCTCTAGTTCTAAAGGTCTTATGTTTTAAATTGGCTATAGTGTCCTATTTTTTATTTTAATTTATTCTTTGGTAATGAACTCTAGCTAATCATATTGCATCAGAGAAAACAGTTATTATATATTGAAACAAGATATATCATGTATATGACATCGTGTGAAAAAATATCTGTTGTAACGCGTTTCGACTTTGAGGACTTCATCAGATTAAGTTAATGCAGGAGAATACCCACGAAATATATATATATATATATATATATATATAAAGAAAAATATACGGAAAAAACAAACAAAAATCCTAATATGCAATTATGCTGTTTTAATGTTAATATAATGTCAACGTTGGACGTTTCGGTCTAATAGATCATCATCAGGACATATTCATAAAACATAATTAACATTAGACTATATTTAATTCAACATGAAAAAGACGACGGACATAAGAGTAAGACTAATCAAAACAGACAACTGAAATTTATCAAGATCAGCGTTCCGTTTCAATATGATCACGTCGGCGTCACGTGGGCGATGTTGTAAAAACGTATTCCTAAAATAGAGTATTTTGAATGAAAAATGTAAAGAATTTTATTTTAATCTAAAATTTATATGTACGTTTGTCGAGCATTAATCTTGTTATGTCCATCGTCTTTTTCATGTTGAATTGAATATAGTCTAATGTTAATTATGTTTTATGAATATGTCCTGAAGATGGTCTACTAGACCGAAACGTCCGACGTTGACATTATATTAACATTAATACAGCATAATTGCATATTAGGATTTTTGTTTGTTTTTTCCGTATATTTTTCTTCATACTGTCGGATCTATATCCATATAGTTGCTTACATATATATATATATATATATATATATATATATATATGATTTAAAGTCTCCAAGGAGTTCTGCTTTTAACTAAAATACTCATTATGAAATTGTTTCGTTGAATTCTCGAGTTTTCATAAATTAAGTGGGGGTGTATGATATGTAAAATATCTTTACCAAGCTAATAGCCACAAACAAGAGACGCTGAGGAATTTTAAATTATTTTTTCTTGTTATTGGTTTTTTTTTTTTTTAAAAACATATTTTTGGGGATATATAATCTAGCCTATTTCATTTAAATTAAGCACCTCTAATAATTCGCTGAAAAAAAGCTAAGATGAAAGAAAAAAAATGCCCCAAACTTGATAAAAATTAAATTTTACCCTCAAAATCTGTTATTAATAAGCGGAAAGTCTAAATTATTTTTTTGTTCGTTTAATTATAATTTTTATTCCTTTTTAGAATGTTCGAAATTTTCGTTAAAAATCTAATTTTTGTTTTTTTTGCATCAGTAGATGGACTATACATTAACATACCAAATTCTAGCGTTTTTAAGTTTTGGAAATTCTTGCAAAAATCAAATAATTGTCGCATTTTAATTAAACTTTCAGAACTTATTTATAAATGAATGAAATTATTTAAAAAATGTTTTTTTTTTTTTCAGAAAAGCTTGGTAAATATATTTCACATATCATACACCCTACTTAATTTATAAAAACTCGAGAAATTCTTAATAATTTTAATGAGTATTTTAGTTAAAAGCAGAACACCTTGGAGACTTTAAATCTAAAATATATATATATATATATATATATATATATATATATATATATATATATAGTAAAATCGGATCCTGTCTTAGCGAAAATCTGCTCTGAATCATAAAATAAAAATAAAGAAATTTTTATTTTCGATGAATAATGAATTTTTACAAGATTTGTTTTCATTTTTTTTTAAATTTTAATTAGAATAATTTATAAAGTTTTTAAATCTTTTAAAATTCACTTCAAACGGTGTAATTCTTGGGGAATGCTATTAAGTAAAAACTAGATTTACTAATCATAAATCGAACAGCTTATTACAATTTAGGGTCACCATCGGCACTTTTTACTCTGATTTTCTTTCACCTTCAACCAACTCTTGGAAAGCTAAACGACGACAGGGAATGGATGACAGGGGCAGGTTTTGATGAAATTGGAACCTGCACATTGGTGGTGAATGTAGTCATAAACACCCTCATCATCGTAGAGGAAGCGATCAGCAAAGAAGAAATTAAAATCTTCGATACGAGATGAAGCCGACGAATATAAACAGCACGCTCTTATTCGGGTATGCCGGATTATTAGGGTGGGTAGCTAACTGTTGTGGTGTGCTCCCTCTAATGAGGCTATTGTGGACTCTTCCACTTACTATAAAGTACTAGGAAAGTAAACCTCTGGGGAACGGTGATCTAGACCGTTCATGACTGTCAAACTCTCCGCATCGGCGGGGAGGAACCCGGACGAAGCTTTGCCGATAGGCAAGGTTTCGTCCGGGGTGGTAGACAGGCCCTGAACCAGTTTATACGGGTTCGAAAGGCATAATTTTGGCTAAGCCCACGGGCTCGGAGAACCCACGATAAACTCGGCCTTGTTCCACATACGACCCACGTGGCAGGGGGCATTAAATATAACAGTACCA